CACCTCATAGGCAGCTCGACACTATAGTCAGCTCGCCACCTAGCCTGCCCAGCTCGATTCAGCTCGGCAGCCAAAGTTCTCCACTTCGGCCTGAGTCATTGACCACTTGGAAGCAGACCAAATGACGAGGTACTTAGCACAAAAAATTGGCCATCACCCAAAAAATTGATCCATCAATTGGTGTCGTCTGTGGGAAAGGCTACAAAAAGCTAAGTTCTCATCCTCTGAAAGGCCAAGTCCTCTTCTTCCAGAAAACTAAGTTCTCACCTTTTAGAAACTAAAAGCTCTCACTTTCTTGTTTCCATTTTTTAGGAACTCAAAGACTATGCGGGAAGTTGATGGCCAACAAACTAAGCAGCTCTACCAACTTTATTCAAACTCAGATAAAGCCTCATCAGTCCTCTTTACGAGGTACCCTTTACAAAGATGAACTCTTTGTGGCTTCCACGGGAGTAGGCGACCAACAGACTGCATGGACGCCCTTGCCGGTCGAGCCTTCCAAGGCTCTCGTGCGAGCTGGTGACCTAAAGTCAGTAGTGCTGCCCCCGTAGATCGAGCTCCTAGTAGCTTCTTGTAGGAGTGGGTAACCGACGTCACAAACGAGGCTGATGCAGCACAGTCGTAGCTCTAAGGTGCCGACCTGGCGGCCTGGCACAGGCACCGACCTGGCGGCCTGGCACAGGCACCGACCTGGCGGCCTAGCCCAGGCGCGACCTGGCAACCTGGCATTGGCACGAGCTGGCGGCCTGGCCCAGGCACAAACCGGCGAGCTGATAAAAGGCTTCAGCTCCACAAGAGGCCCAATCGCCTCTTCGGTATGGGCAAGATCAAGGAGAGTGGACTACAAGTCGCTCCTAGAGCCTAAGGGCTAAAGTGTCGAACTAGCAAAGACTTCGGCACCACATAAGACCCAGTTGCCTCTTCGGCATGGGCAAGATCAAGGAGAGTGGACTACGAGTCGCTCCTATATACTAAGGGCCAAAATACCGAACTAGCGATGACCTCCTCACCACATAAGACCTAGTCGCCTCTTCGACATGGGCAAAATCAAGGAGCGAACTGTGAGTCGCTCCCAGAGCCTAAGGATCTGAATCGATGCTTACGAACTCATCGAATTATTCATTCCGGGCCAAAAGGAGAAATTTACTCCCTTCGCCGAGTTACTTTCAGCTCGGGAGTCGGGAGCAAATGATGAGGGCGGATTTGGCCCTCCTATAATATTGTGACACGTGGCACCTCAGAACAACTAGGTGACACCTAGAACCACTAAGGCAACAACTTGCCAAGTTGATGGTGTCCAACCTGGCGGCCTGGCCTAGCGTGACCTAGTGGCTTGGCCCAGGCGCGGCCTGGCCCAACGCGACCTGGTGCGACCTAGCGGCCTAGCCCAAACGTGGCCTGGCGGCCTAGCCCAGGCGCCGACCTAGCGACCTGTGAGACATGCTCACCGACAAATTCGACATGCATATCCTAACACTCCCATGATCCTTGGAAGTTGGCCCACGTGCTGAACGATCCGGAGGGTGGTCAACGTGCATGGCGGTTACCTTCGGGAATCTCGAACCAGTTAGACGACCTTGCAGAAATCTCGGATATACTGCGTGAAGCCCACGCCAAACAATGCCTATATAAAGGCACCAACCCCAATGGCAAGAAAGAAAGTAAGCAAGTAAGCAAATTCTAGCTCTCATACTTTGTGATTTTTAGCTCGCAGTGTACTATGAGAGTATTAACTTAAGCATCGGAGCGACCTCGCTGGGTTAGCCACCTCGGGTCCCCTGACATTTGGTTCCTTGCAGGTCTCTAAAGAGCAACAAATCTCATCAATCCAGCTCGGTACCTAGGCAGTCCGACACCTCACAGGAAACTCGGTACCTGGTCAGCCCGACACCTCACAGGCAGCCCGGCACCTCACAGGTAGCTCGGCACCTGGTCAGCTCGACACTTCACAGGCAGCTTGACACCAAGGCAACTCAACACCTCACAGGCAGCTCGACACCTGGTCAGCTTGACACTTCACAGGCAGCTCGACACCAAGGCAGCTCAACACCTTGTTAGCCCGGCACCTCACATGCAGATCGCCACCTGTCAGCTCGACACCTCATAGGCAGCTTGGCACTATAGTCAATTCGCCACCTAGCCTACCCAACTCGATTCAGCTCGACAGCCAAAGTTCTTCACTTCGGCCTGAGTCATTGACCACTTGGAAGCAGACCAAATGACAAGGTACTTAGCACAAAAAATTGGCCATCACCCAAAAAATTGATCCATTAGAAAGATTTTTCTCTTTAGCTCTCTTGAATTAGTCCATAACTAATAACTCAAGCCGCACTCCGTTTAAAAACAGACGTTTCTTATCCAGAAGACTACCTATATAGGTTGAATCGATTGTCTTGATATTTGAGATTGGGAAGATACCAATAAAAGAAAAATCACTCTATATTTCTTAGCTTTTCTACTTTTCTTTCACAAATAACAATCTTTTCCCAACTAGTTCAACCGATGCATCTATTTTGGATGAATATGGAAACTCTGGGTCCTTTGCTTTAGCTCTAGTCTTGATCTATATTATCCACCAGTTGCACAGGCGACAACATCAACAACTGTAAGGGTGTCAACTTGTATGGACCCATATGATTTGTCACTTAAATCTTAAATCATACAGGCCGCCAACTAAAAGAGTCATCTGCTCCTATGGAAATCCTAGTTGCAGAACATGTGCAGTGTTTGCTTAGTGACTCAAACGGATGCCCAAGAGACATGGATTGACCAAAATTCATACACTTAGCGGTGTTAATGGACCGAGCTTAGGTTGTACCCATCCGAATCAAAACCAATTTGAATGGGTTGGATGGTCCAATGAAACATATTGAATTGGACCACTTCAATGGTTGGATTGGACCTACTTCATCTATAATAAATTTATCTTAAATTGGACCAGGCTGAACCAATCTCCAGTCCATTGACAGAAGATAAAGAATAGGAGTATCAATGAACCAATTTTGGATCTGATACCATCTGAATTAAAACCAATTTAAACACGTTGAATGGTCTAATAAGACATTGAGTTGGGCCAGTTCAGTTCGAAATATCTATTGGATTGGATTGGACCTAGTCCATCTGTAATAGGCTTATATTGGAGTGGACTGAGTTGGACCAATATACGGTCCATTGACCACCCTACCTACCCTTTGATTATATTTTTCATCTACTTCACGTGTATAATCATGAATTACAATTCCATATATCATTCGTTTTGGAAAAAGAAATTAGGCAGGCATAATATAGATAGAAGGGAATGTTTGTTAATTAATTTTTCAAGAATATAAGATAGATAGTTCTTATATTGCTTCTTGCTCCAACATCTGATAGACGACACGACTGATACAGCGCCCCCACCCCCCTGTTATATGTCCCATGGTTTAAGCATGTTGGGCAAGTGGTATGAAATATACAAGTACAAATGCCAATTCATTCTTTTTCTTTCATGTTGACACTCTTGTGAGATTGAGCCCACTTGTATTATTTATGAAAACATCCATCATCTGTCCATATATATATATATATATATATTGGCACATGAAAATACACACCCCATAACTAATATACGCCAACTCACCATTGCTACAACCCAAACTATTTGGGTTTCATATACATGGGATTACTCCTAAGGCCCATCTAAGTAAGATGTGGCCCTCTCACCAACCAAACTAGGGTTGTGGTTGGCGATTTAAAGGAGCATGAGTAAACTTCCTCTGCCCGTTTTACTTCCAAAACTGCTTTGGACCCTCCTGGGAAAAAAGGGCTATTTATAGCAGAATGGGGTTAAGTTATTGAATTTTCTTTTTGGGAGCAGAAATATCTCACTTTTCCTTTATTGGATTCCAGTATTCCTATCTTTTTCCTTGTCTCGGACGTTTTGGAATCTCTTGTAAGAATTGAGATAAGAAGGGCAATTTTAGGTTTAGGGGTAAAGTTGAGTTGAATCAGGTGGAATAGAGAGTGATTCTGACCCGTTAATCGGGAGGTCCAAACAAAATGATTTAAGGCCAAACCTACCAAATAGCAGTCAAGACAGTCATGGAGATGGAAGAGACATGGATCACAATCAGAACAAAATAAATCCAAAACGATTATTCTAGATAAGCAGATAATGACAGCGGCTGTGTAGGTAGAGACTAGAGAGGGAGGTCCCCTCACCCACGATGAAAACCATACTACTTCTCAATTGGGTGCCACCAGTAAAGAAGAGTGAGATTACCGCTGGTTTTAGACTTGAAATGTTGAACAACAAAGGGTTCCTGACAATTTGTTAAGCGTCTTGATACGCTGCACCCAGCCAGCCGCTGTTTTTTCGATGTGATATGTTTTATAGGGTTCGACTATATAACACGAAAAAATATGATATGGGAAAAATAACTGATCAATAAGATGTTATTTATCAAGATTTATGATTGGTCGATAAAAGAGGGTTCGACTATGATACGAAACAGCGGCCGTATAATATGCCGTTTTATTACAGCACAGGAGGGAGGCCCTACATTGCAAATATGTGTGCCCCCACTTCCCATCCATGCCATCTATCATCGCCTCATCGAAACCACGGACGCAATGAAAAAAAACATCATACCGCCCCAGCTCCGAAATTTTAGGTGCAATGCATGTTGCATGAGGTTTGCGGGTCCCTCTGGTTTTGCATGTGCACCACCTGTTCCTTCACAGTCATCTCGCAGTGTCCGTCTTAACCGTCTGCCCTCCGCGGCTCCAAACTTCAGATACTACTCGCTTTTTCTACCTCTGTTGATAGTACTTGTTAGCTCCGTTCTTCTACGTAGCGGGAATGATCCGCGACAACCAGGACACCGGATTAACCGAACAAGATGGCTGTGTTAACACAAAATAACGAGGCACGAAAGAACGACAAACTGCGTTGAGCAAAAGTACAAGTAGTCGGGCATGCTATGGCGAACAAACGAGAGTCAAGAATACGAGAGAAAAGATTGGATTCACGCACCATCATTTGCATGATCAAAACCATTCAAATCCATTGACGATGATAGCATCACTTCGACAACATGTGTAAATCAACTATCAAGAGTAAAGTATATAATCATCTTATCTTTCTCTGTCTCTCTCTCTCTCTCTCTCTCTCTCTCTCTCTATACTTATGTAAACCCAAGTTTATACAACCAAAGAAAGAAAAAAAAAACAAGAAAAGACCAAAGGATAAAAAAAAAGGGAATTATTTGATGGCAAAGAGAAATGAATGATCTGAGCCGCCAAAACTGAACATCCCTCAAAGAACATCACCGGCTAACTCAGGACTTGCAATCAAGACTTAATTCCATTTTACATGTATCATCATCGCCTGATCCGCAGATCTCACTACGGTCCTTGGCTGCTGGACTCACGCTCCGATGGCGTGAAACCGGCTCGAAGCCCAGCGTCAACTCCAACTCAACCTCGCTTTCATCGGTTTGACTGTCGGAAGTTTTCGGGTCGGGTTCTTTGTGCTCAGGTCGGCCAACAAGGGAGTGCTCCACTGTCTCAACAGAGAACATGCTATCGGTCTCTCGACTGTCTCCTTCACCGTTGTGCTCGGAGTGATGACTCGTCGACGAGTCGTGGCTCGTTGCCATCTCGTAACCATCCGGGTAGCACCTGCGCCACCTAAGGTTACAAATAGGGGCAGCGTCGGCGATAGGGGTTTCTGCTACGAGCTCGGCAGCAGAAACGAGATTGGGCTTGTTGGGTTTCGTAGCGGAGCGCTTGAAGCGGCTCCTTGTTTTGACCTTGTGAAGGTCTTGGGAAGCGGCCCAGTTCTCATCCTTGGAGACATGTCTTATGTCGTACGCTTTCATAGGGGGACTAGGGCTGGCAGCCGCTTCAGAAGAGATTTGCACGATCGGGGCTCCTTTAAGAACGGCTTCCACGGCCGACTGGCAAAGCTGCCAGTTTCCGGACCAGAGCAACCCGACTGATCCATAAATCGGGTTCACAATCCTTCCACAAGCCTCGTACAGGAGGGACCTGAATATCGCTGCAATCAGAAAATAAAACACAAGTTCAGAAAATTAAATAAAACGGAGGATCAAGACTCACTAAAGAGACAGAAACGAGGGAAAGGGTGGTACCAGGACGAAGATGTTCGGGGCCGGCATTAATGAGGTTCATAAGTCCGGCTCGGCCGTAGAACTTAGCGAGGAAAACAGTGGCATTGGCTTGGGACTCCGGATTCTTGATCCATTGGAGACAAGGCCTGATGCTGCAGTTCTCGCTGCAACCCTTGCGAAGGACTCGGCATCCATTGCAGCTCATCCTCATCTTGACTATTTTATTGTTAACCAAGAAATTGCTTGCTGTTACTGCTGGCGGCTCCCGCTTGGTTTGCAGATAATGATCGATGGGAGGCGTCGGTCTCTGAAGGCTTCGTTACGGAGAAAAAAGGAGGGAGAGAGAAGGGAGGTTTGCTTGCGTGGTTCTGAGTTTGCTTTTTTGCAGGGGGAAGAAAGAGATGCAAATGTGAGAAGACAAGAAGTGGGGGTGGGTATTTAAGTGAGTCGATGGTTTGGGAAGGGGGACCGCGGTTTGAAATAAGGCGCAGCGGTTTCCTAAATAGCGGTAGAGATGGAAGCAATCCGGTTTTATTATTATACCCTTTTCTTCTTTTTTTTTGGTTAGGAAAAATTGGGGTTTTATTATTCGAGGAAAGTACTGGATGCATGCGTCTCCCTCTTTAAAATGCCCCTCCGTCGTTGTCAACTTTTGTCCCTGCTGCGGTGCTGCCCCCACCCACTCCTTTTTACGGATAGCCAGAGCTGCTTTTTATTTTTTCACTCTTTACCCCAACCAACAAGAAGGAATTCATCCGAAACTTTCACTCTCCCTATCCCTAGCCTAACCTGGCCTACTAGCCTATCCGGTTTGAAATTTGCATACAACCTTCAAATTGGAGTCTGATTAATCTTTTCATTTGAAAAATTGAACGAGGAAGTGGAATATCCACGTAGGTTAAAACTGCATATTTGGGAGGTCGACACAGCCTGTCCTTTTGGTCGTGTGATGTCCTGTCCTCCTTCTGTTAAGGAGGAGGGAGAACTTCATCACGACTCTACCTCTTGGCCTCTTGAAACGCCCTGCCTTTACTCCATTAGGCGGCCCCTTGGGACTTGGATCATAGAGTGGCATCCATCTAAAGTTGTCAGCGCTTACAGAACTACACACATTTGAGCAACTTATTAACACTTATCTTTGCATCACAGCTCATTCATTTGTCGTCCAGGTCCAGCAAGCAAAAATTCTGGGATACACAACAGAACAGTGGGTTGATACGGATTGGGTGGATGGGAAGCTTTGATTGAAACCGTTTGTTATCCGAATTTGTTTGTGTGGAATGAACTGTTTGTTAATTGTTAATACTTAATAAATAGATAGCGCGATTACTGTTCATCTTTTCTTTTACCTTAACAAACGAACCCAAAGCGAAAAAAAAAAAAAAAATTGTTTTGGTAACTTGAAGGCGGGGTAAAGTAACAGTAAATAAAAGCTCGACAACTAACTAGTTGTCGTAAATAAGGGGGTAGGGCAGGGGCAAAAAGAGAGAGGAGGTCCATGCAAGAGGGTCCAAAAACCATGAATATCGGGAGAGCAGCGCGTGTCAACAACGACCAGGTCTGAGACAGCGGGCGATCGCCACATATCGTGGAAGAAACACTCCCCCTTCACTCCTGGTTTTCGGGAATTCGTACCAGAAACCATCCCACACAAGACCATCGTTGCTTACGCCACAAAGCACCAAAACCACTGTTTTCGTTTTTCCCAGTATTAAAATCCCATGACTGTGGGCGCCCGATGTGAGTCGCCAGCGGTTTCTTGGGGATGGCGCAACATGCTTATCCTAATAAGAAAATGAAAATCCTCTCTACCTTCCCCTGCTGCCCAAGTGCCGCCCTTGTTTCTCGCATCTCTCACTTTTCTTTATCCACCATTTATTCAATTATCTATATACTTTCATATTAATATTAATGGATCTCCCTATCAAAAACCCCTTCCCCTTTCTATTCGGTGCATTCGGTCGTTGTTTCCTTTTTCTGCGCGGCAGAATGGGGAATTTGGATGATTGCGACTTGCCTAATACCTCTCTCCTTCGGAATCATAATTTATAAATCCGCTTTCAAGTTTCTATTAAAAAAAATGAATCCTTCGGCTCAGAAATCATTGACTTTATGGAATGATTTTCAATGATTTTAATGGTTTTACGTTTACCCTCCCCTCAATTATCTTATTGACCTAAGATGGAGGCCGTCCTACGTAGAGAACTTATGTCACTGATTGAGGTCTGAGGATTGATTCCCATCAAATGATCGAATCCAACGGTTATGATTGAGAATAACGGTCTCTAATCTAACGGCTGTCCTAACGCCTAAAGTGGGGTTTCCAACTTTCCATTTGGCATTGTAAACTGTCACTGTGTTTGTAATGGGGATCAGGATCTTTCTAGATTTGACCGTCATATCACGTGATGGGGTGGTCCATCTCCATCACAGCACAGGAATCAAAAAACTAACCTACCGGCTACCGCGTAGGTCCATCACAAGAATAAAAAAAAAAACATCCCACCAAGGCACCAACGTATCTCTCTTGGATTCTAGGATCTTAAATGACTGATATGCCCTTTCTGTTCTATGCAGAACATGGGGCACTAAAAGTTGCGACGACGGGACGTAAATGGCATTCTGGAGAAAGTCGAAGGACACTAACGATTTCCAGGAATACACAGAAAAAGAATTAATAAAGAAAAAGACGGGTTAATTAAATTAAAACAAATGAACTCGGAAGACTTTTATTCCCTACAAGTTGGAGCTACAGTGGCATGGCAGACGATGCTTTCATTTCAATTATATATAGGTATCGGGTGGGTCGTCGATTCGCGTTTCCACAAATATATATTTTATTTCCAATTCGATGCATTTATTTTTTGTTTATTTGATTCATCAGATACAGCGGAGTAACTGCCATGGCATGGGGGCGTGTGCAGGTACACACACCCACACTTTGAATGTGTTTGGCTTTGGCTTGTGAAGAAGGAAAACGAGGGTTTCCGGTTTCCTTTGCTCCTAGTACAATTGTACTCCCCTTGCTTCCCTATTATGCGCGGATTTGACTCAGAGCCTACGTGTCACACCATTAAAATATTCATTACTTTCTCGGAAAGGAAGAAGCTTCCAATAACCTGACCTATTCCCGTTTTAAGTCCACCGGAGGTAAAGACTCAAGCTACGGTCTACTGTCTCTACGGTTATACACAGATCTCCGGGGAGCTGGGTCCCACCATTAGTATGATCCCTTCCTTCATACCAATCCGACGGTTCCCGAAGTGGTGCCCCCTGGCCCCTGGGAACATAGGATGACGTACAGCGTTTCCTGCATTGGTTCGGAGAGACCTTCGACGGGCGACTGCCTGCTTTTTACATCAAACAAGAAAAAATGAAGATGAAAGGTACATATATATATATATATTTATATATATAGTACAGACAGAATGGTACAGTCTGTTAGAAGAACCACAATACAGTCAGTCTTCGTCTATTTACGCTTGATGGGATCTTTCTGTCTCAAACGGATCCTTAAGACAGGATTTAGATTCCATCAAATCGTGGTAAACACTGCAGGAGGTACATTATATTGAGAGAGAAAAAGAAGGTGTATTCTGAAATCTGAATCAGTTAATCCCTTTCGTCTATTATGTGAAAGTGATGCCAATAAGTTTTATTTAATAATAAATTTATATTCCAACTGATTTTGACAATTGCTTACGCCTATAATTTTGGTAAGCTCTTTAATTTGTCGTACTAATCCACGAATAAATAATCAATTATATGAATATAATGCTCCTTTTTCTGTACAGGGTCCGAAGCCATGACTGTACGCATGTACCTTAGTATATGAATAATAATTTTTTATCCATATTATATGAATAATAATAATAATAGACCAAGTAATTAACTAAGTTATTACAGAAGAGATCATAATATACAAGTCGTTTCAGGCAGAGCCTATAGTTCTGTATACGGTTTTTTTTTTTTATCTTGGTATATATAACCATTGTATATTAGAAGCAATTTTTTTTTTTTTATTTTCATTTTCTTCACATTATTTATAAATCTATTAATTGGATTCAATTCAATAACATTGTAGGTAAGGTAGCTATGAATTATTTAATGAATCATTTTTCTTCATTTGTATTGTAATGGTTCAGAATTGAAGCTGTATTGTTGTTTGTTAGGTGATAGGCTGATAGCCGGCCAATAGTATATGATTTATACATCTATTTTTATGAAAAAACTAAAAAGAATATATAACATCCCACAAGTAGGTCATATTTACCAAGTTCATAGTTTGCGTTGCTCGCAGTTGGCCAAGATTTCCTGTGGCTTGTAAGGGATCGGGATTAAAGATTAACATATACAAATATAATAAGATAATAAAGTATGAAAGGATCCATAGTTTTAGGAAATTAGGCAACTAACTGTAGGCTGTAGCTGATAAAAAGTATAAGTAACGACAAAAATTGAAACAATGAGAGTGTAAAGTTTATCAAACAATGTATTGCAAGTTGGAGGGGTGGTGGGGGCGAGGGTGGTTGTAACTCTGTACAAGAAAGCCAAGAAAGCCAATAGTACTTCTACCCACTTCTACATGATTAGACACACTTTGTTGGTTTTTGCCACATAAGACCATTTTAGATAAATTATAAACTGTATATATTCACTGGAATAAGCTAAATGATCTGGCAAAGTCTAAGATGCATGCATGCATTATTGATTATTTTAACTTATTCACGTGGCAGTGGTTGCAGCCTAACTAGCATGCAGCTTATCTCTCAAGGCAAGTTTGAATAACGCCCCAATAGGCATCTCATGATCCGAAGATCAAACTGGTTAGGGGTCTGTCTGGTTATCGGGTCGAATGGTCAATCCGTTTTAACAAAAAAAATTAAAAAACAATCAAAATCGTTCAAACGATTAAGATAAACAATTTATTAACCAAAATCAATGATTTTGAGCAAAATTTCAGTTTTGAAGAAAACCGAATGCATCTGATAAATTGACTATGAATTAAAATCTTAAAAACTGCATCTCGATCTAGTTTTTGTTGGAACCTGTTCCAATATTTTTTGGGGGGATGGTCTGCGCATGGAAAAATCCTATAGATTGGCTCCAGGAAACCATGCACAGAACGTGATAATCTGACTATGATAATTATAATGAGGATGATGGTGGTGCCCCCAATGACGATAATCACAATGATGATGACTAGCTCCAAAACATCCATTAAAAAATAAAGAGAAACTCCCACCTCTTTCTTAAACCCCAACTTGCAAATGTTACAATAACTCAACTTGCTTCATCACTAATAGATGTGGGGGAGGAGGATGATAATTACTCCAAATAAATTACTACTTAGAAAAAAGAAAGAAAAATTATATTAAAGCAGAAAGGAAATTTATTGAATATTCAAATATGAGAATATAACATCACCCCTTACGTAGTACAAAGC